AAGAATTAGAGTGGACTCGATCCGTCTGGTATAGATACAAGTCCTTGGCTTCAGTTGGATGTCCCTTTTATAGAAAAGATATCTTTCCTCTGCCCAATCCTCTTACGCGACCCTTGTATGCCCAAGGTTCTTGTAAGAGGTATGCAAATTATATACCTACTCGCATAATAGTAAATCTACTAGATGCTAAATTGGACTTTTATCAGTTCCAAGAACAGGCTGGTTTCCGCTCTGGGTTCGATACCAAGAATCACCTTCAGTATGTCTCGAAACCTTCATAGAAAAGAGTATTGAATACAACCGTTCTTTGATATTGATATACGTACTGATGTTTTTGTAGACTTCCAAAAGATGTTCGCACCGTGGAACTTCCTGCAATCTTGAGATATTGCGAAATTATTTAAAACATATACGGAAACGCAACGACCCCCGTAAATCTTGACTCCACCACTAGTGAAAATTAAAACCAAAAGAGGAATTCAACAGGTTTACTCTTAGTCACCCAAGCTGTTCATCGCAGTTCTCGGAAATGCTTTCGAAAAATTGCCTTAGGAGCGAAAAGGAATAATCATCGATGGGGAAAGTCTTACTAATCTTCGCTTTGCAGATTATATTGTCCTTATATCAGACAGTCTGTGCGAAGCTAAAGAAATGCTCCAGGAACTTCAAAATTTCACGCCTTAAGATGAACTTGTCCGAAACAGAAATGATGACTAATCTGGTTTCCACTAAGCAAATATAAATAGGCAATAATAACATAGAAATAGTGGACAAGTTATGGGCAGCATCCAAGAAAATGAGCGATATGTTTGGGGCTAATATTCCAATATCCCTGAAACGAAAAGCATTTAACCAGTGTGACCTATGGTGCAGAGACATTGATTCTCACCAAAGCATTAGCAGAACAGTTGAAAGTTGTTATATGTATTAGAGCTCAAGTGTAAACTTAGCTTTCGCTTTAGCGTTCTGTGCTTTATCCTGGTGCTTTAGTTTTTTAGTTAGACAGGCTATGGCGGGCCTGCCAAAAAGTAGAAGTAGAACTAGATAAGATGGCTCATAAGTGGTCACAGGGAAGTAGTTTTGCTCCCAACCTAAACATGGTGTCAGGTGTGATTGCTTGATTTACCACCCAAAAGGTGTTTCAAAGTTTGTGTCTCAATAGTTCATAAAGGCGCTAGAAATACCTACATATTGAGGTATCACAATGGAAATCTTCAAGCCACCCAGTCCTTTAACCGAGTACGACATCAAGAATTGGACTCTGTGGAAACAGAAGTTTACAATTTACTTGAAAGCTGCAGGTAAAGAAAGTGTAGCCGAAGATGTACAGATTGCAATATTGTTAAATTGCATAGGAGATTATGGTCTCGATATATATAATACTTTTGAGACAGATGAAACATCTGCGTTAGAAAAGTGTCTTCAAGCCTACGATGCCCGTTTTCTCCCAAAGAAAATCATTCCGATGGAGGCCTTCAAGTTTAATAACCTTACCCAATCAGCCGATCAGAATATTGAGCAGTACTTGACTGAACTCAAAAAGCAGGCCAAATTGTGCGATTTTATTTTCAAGAAGCCAAACTGTGATACTAGTTATGAAGCATGATGATCATTGGAATAAGTGACAAACAGATTCAAGCCAAATTAATTAGAGAGCCAGATGTTGGTAACCAAGATAATTGAGTATTGTAAGTCTGTTAGTTTAAGCAAGGAGCACTTGAAAACACTAAATCCAAAGGAAGAAGCCAATTTTGTGAGAAAATGCTCAGAAGATTAAATGTGGAAAATGCTCTTATGAACATTGGATTAACAGATGTCCAGCATATATAATAAAACATGTGCTTAGTGCCAAGAAAAGGGACATTTTGCCTAATTATGTCCTAAGGACATTTTACAAGATAAGGCTATCAGCAACGCAGCAATATCTAGGAATGTAAGAGAACTTAGAAAACACGATGACAGTGAATATGAAGTGGATACAGAGGATTTATTTATTAATTAATGTTCCAGTACCCAAGGAAAAGATAAAAAGTCATGGTGTGAAACCCTAAAAATTGAAGGAAAACAGGTAAAATTCAAACTTGATTCAGGTGCAGAGTGTACTGTTTTGCCTGTGCATGTTTTTAGTAAATTAAAATATTCACGAGCATTGTTGTATGTATGTACAACGTTGATTTCTTATGGAAATTTTAAATTTAAATCATTAGGTCAAATAACAAATAACTTTACCTTGTCAAAAATGTGAATTATCTTGTTAATTTTATAGTTGTAGATGCTACCACTGAACCTTTATTGGGGTTGGATGATTGTCCAAGGTTGAACTTGATTAAAAAAGGGTCAATGTGGTTCAGATTCTACCAAAAAGTAAAAACGATATTTTTGAAAAGTATAGGCATATTTTTGAGGGTCTAGGTAAGATTCCAGGTCTTTGTAAAATTGAGTTGACTGAAGATGCAAAGCCTGTGGTTCAGTATTAGCGCAAGGTACCTTTTTCTCTGCATGAAAAGTTTTAAAAAAATCTTGATAATTTAGAAAGTAAGAATATTATTGAATAGGTTGACTACCCTACTAGTTCGGTTAATAGCCTAATGATTGTCGAGAAAAAGGATAAATCACTGGGAATTTGTATCGATCCCAAACCCCTCAATAAATATATCCGCAGAGAACAATTTTTAATCCCAACTTGTACAGATATTTTGAGTAGGCTTTCATCAAAGCAACTGTTTTAAGTTTTTGACATGAAAGATGGGTTTTATCACCTCTAGTTGGATAATAAAAGTTCAGATTTATGCACGTTTAATTCACCCTTTGGTAGGTATCGGTTTAGAAGAGTGCCATTTGGAATATCAAGTGCACCCGAGTTATTTCAAAGAAAGTTTGCTTTGAAATATTTGGAGATATACCAGGTGTCGAAATTTATTTTGATGACCTCATAATTAGTGGTGCTGATGAGGTGAGTCATGGTAAGGCTCTTTTAGAAGTTTTTAAACGAGCTGAGATGAATATTGTACGATTTAATTTTAATAAGCTTATTGGTCATGAAATGTCAAAGGAAAGAGTCAGGGCCCATTCTGAAAACATTAGAGCAATTTCAGAAATTGAAACACCAAAAAATCGTTCTGATGTTTTAAGAATATTAGGGTAAATGACTTTTTTTTTTCGAAATTTATCCCCAATCTCTCGGAACTTACTAAAAATTTAAGAAACTTGACAAAGAACAATGTACTTTTTCTTGGACAGAGGCTCATGATAAAGAACTTTGTATTTTAAAGTCAATTGTGACGTCAAGTCCAGTTTTGTAAATATTTGACCCAAAGCTGCCAATAGTTATTCAAACGAATGCCTCGAGTGAAGGTTTGGGTTGTGGGTTGTTGCTTGTTGCAATCAGGACATCCTGTAATGTTTGCTTCAAGGTGCTTGACTAAATCAGCAATAAAATGGGCACAAATAGAGAAAGAATTGGCTGCTATAGTATTTGCTTATGAAAAATTTCACTATTTCGTTTATGGTTATGATGTCCTTATTCAGAGTGATCATAAGCCTTTGATTCCAATTTTTTCTAAAACTCCTGATAAAGTAACAGCTAGATTGCAGAGAATGCTCCTTAAACTTTCAAAGTATAATCTAAATGTGACTTATTTACCTGGAAAGCAAATGCTTGTAGCAAATGCATTGTCCCGTGCATTTATCCAAAGTGAGGTACTAGTTGATCCAGAAATGGAGTATGTTGTGCATACTTTGTTAAATGACATACCAATGTCCGAAGAAAAGAAAAATGTTTTTCGAAAAGCTATTCATAATGACCCAATATTGTGAACAGTCGAAACCTATTGTAGTAGTAGTACTAGAGAACTACATAGATGAGGGGGCCCATAAGTGGTCACAGGCTTAGTTTAGTCTAATAGTCCTAAATAAAGTGTGTGTTCATTCACGAAGGAGTTTTGCTCCCAACCTAAACAAGAGTAACACAGAGACGAATGCAATGATCCATGCTTGGATTGACTTCAAAAGACCGAGTAAGGAATAATGAGATCCGCATAATAACTGAGATGACGATATAGAACATATTGCAAAATAAAAGTGGAAATGGGCAGGCCACGTCTCAAGATTTGGGGACGCAAGATGGCGAAGAAACTGATTGAGTGGAGACAAACAAAACTGAGGAAGATCTCCCACTCGCTGGACAGACGACCTGAGAATCGCAACTGTTCAGAACAGAGACAACTGGAAAATTTTAGAGGAGGCCTATGTTCAACAATGAACGTGAAAAGACACTTTTTAGTGATGATGATGATGATGATGATGATCACTTAACTTGTGCAGCGAATTTTGTCAAAGGTCCTGGGCTAAATCGTGAAGGACCTCAAATCGTATCAAACAGCAGATTGGAACATCTACGGAGTCTTCGCATACAAATTTTTCAATGCACTAATAGTAAGAGCCAAGAAAACGTGAGTTCACTGACAATCCACAGCCAGAAGCAAAAGTGAAAAGGGCAATCATTTGCGAGTAGTTTACCCAAATTAGGATTATGTATATGTAAAGGTGAGTTGAGATAAAGATAAAATAAATTGCAGATAAAAAGTCTGTTGGACTAATTTTAGCGATGATTGTTTCCACTAGAATCCTATAACTGGTTCAAAGTAAATTTGAATAATCTAGCAGATAGTTTTCTCAATGAGAATTTCAAATTCTATTCTTACAAAAAGTGGCTTTAATCTTAATCGCCTTGTAGACTGACTACCAAGATCTGTCAGTGAAGTGTGAAATTTAGTTAATTTGAAAGATTGTAACGACCAATTCTAAGGAAAATCCAAAGAAAGTTTTAGTCTAAGTTCTTAAAAGAAAAGTTGATCTTTCGACAAGTGTGCTCAAAAGACAATTTTCTGAGTTTCAACTTTTGAGATTAGGAATTGATCAAATCCTCAATATCGTCTTCTGGTCCAATGGAACAATCACTGGTCCCGAAATAAAACACCAATTTTTTTTATAAGGAAGAACAAAATTGTATTTGTTTTCTACAATATACGATAACGAGTTCAATATACATCAAAAAACATTGCACGGAAAAAAAAATATAGTAAATTTCAGTCTAATATATCTACACAAAATCGTCATATTTTAAACATTTAACATCTAATCGGTTAAATATACAAAATCAAAAATCATGCTCTTATAATAACTAAGTATAAAGCTGTTTACTCAGACAACATTTAATTTTGCCAATTTAGGCAAAAAATTAACAAAAATCAGAATTGATTTCCGCTAAAACATATCTAAGGGCACATTCACACTGTATTAAAACTTGTTAGACAAGAGAAAGGAAAACTTACTTTTCCAGATTTGAATATAGTATGGATGCGCCTCAGTTATTCACACCAACAATGCCAAAATGTTAATGTATAACAATCCTCTACTGATGGTAGAAAATACTTTACAAAATAACCATCAGATCTATTCACAAACTAATACGTATAACGATATTGTATGCCCATGATTGAAACCAATAATACACTGTACATTTATTATTTACAATTAAAATTTGTACATAGATTAAATAAATAATTATAATGAGATCACAATAAGTTTTAACCATTTTTAAACCTACAATAATTAACCAATCAAAGGCATATCCTCTTCGTCACAAGCCACAGTGCTATGATTATACAAACCTTGCGCCATTAGCGACAATGCCAAAGGATTTTTCTGGCCAGACGATTTCTTGATTTTAGCCCGTTTATTTTGAAACCAGATTTTAATTTGGGCTTCATTCAACCCCAGCTCGGCGCTGAGTTTTTGCCTTCTACTTTCAGTCAAATAGCGATTTTCGTTGAACTCAGCTTTCAAACGAGCCAGCTGAGCGCTAGAAAACGCTGTACGTGGACGTTTATCTTCGGCAGCTTTGCTACTGGGAGTAGGTTTTTTCATTCTCCTAGAACGCGGACCTGGAATTAAGAAATAATCCATTAAAAATCGATTTACAAAAATGACAAAGTTGCTGTTAATGTTTTTGACGTTACTTTGAAATTTATCGTCTTCGCTGCCGAAACAAAACCGTTATAAATCACGTGGCGTTTTACGGCTGGGTGCTAAATCGGTTCTATTATGGATCGGACAGATGCCGTGATAGGTATATGGGTTTTGATGACGTACCGTGCCAGTACCACCACTCTATGCTTGGCGTAATGTGTGGATGGAAATATGACGTCTTGAGTGGATTTTTAGATAAGCAATAATTTACAAATAGGTTTGTAGTTCGGAAAATATTGGTAACTATCATTAAGCCCACAAACAAATTTCTACGTGATGATATTTTGAAGTAGGGGTTTGAATATTGGAGAGGCCTTTTTCCTGCTTGTCATAACTTTCAATACTTCAACTTTCTCTCAAATAAATAATTAATAAATCCTTTCCGCTAAAATCATGTATATAAATGGATCATTAGGTATACATTATGATTAAAGTTATTTTGGACCTCCCAGAAAACGAGACTGAGGCTCATCATCATCGTCATCAGCATAGAAGACCCTTTTTATCGAAAATCAATCGGTTCGACCGATCAAAGACATCCGTCAACGAGGTACCACTTCCATGGTGTTATTCGTTATGTTAATGACCCGAGATCAATCAGAACCATTGTTCTACCTTCTTTTCTTGGGCGACCGTCCCGATAATTAGGTAGCTACTGTATTATTCCCCATGAACCATCTTGATAAGGGCTTCGGACAAGAAAAACGCTTATATTTATTGATAAATTCGATGCGGGTATTAATTTCGTCTGACGTCGATAAGGAAAAAAGTGGCAGGTTGGACTCTCTCGACGCAACAATTTTTTTTTTGCCCAGCCTTCTAATTAGTTTTTTGCCCGCGACGAAAATAAAAAAAATCTCTCCTGTACTGACCGATTATTATTTAAATCAATCAAACAAAACTCCTTAACTGAGTCTTAAACCGCAGGAAAGTATCGCATTACTACACGGGCTGCCCACAGCGTTCGTCTTGTGTGGTCCGCCGTTTCAACCAGATTCGGATTCATTTCATTTTCATTGCGAGATTGGCTTTTGACTCGTTTATATATATACGTTACACGCCGCGTATGTGAAATTTGAATCGTTACCGCCATCTATACGAAGAACTGAGAGTTTCTATATGCACTTTAGTACTATTTGCGGTACCATAATTGTATGATTTACATTATGATTGTTTATTTTACTAGTGAGTTATGAGGTGCTGTACAATTACGTCAGTTGTCACTGGTCTATTTTCAAATTTCGGATTTTGACATAAGCATTTTCACCCCATTTGTACTACTTTATCTAAGCCAGAAATTTCCAAAATGTTCTGAAGTGCTACAGAATGCTTTTGGAAATTCTGAATTAAAGTGTTTTGAACTTTTCAAAAGGCTTATCAAATTTCTAAAGTGTTATGGTTTCCAGTAACTTCCAAATTGAATGAGAAACGAATTTTGTGGGAAGTTTTTGTAGATATCTTAAAGACATCCCTAGGATGTACACAAATGACATTCAAGATGTCTTGTTAACGTCTTTAAGGTGTCTTAAAGCCATCCTGAAGACGTTGTATGTTACAAAACCCAAGGTCTTCTAGACGTTTGCCTAAAGACGCCTTTAGTTAGACTAAGACATTCTAAAGACGTCTTTAACGATATTTTCATTAGGTACGTCATAAACCATTATTCACTATTAGGCCTGTGTAAGTTAGTTACTACAGACTGGGATCATAGATGAACACCCAACACAAGGTCACAACCAACTACCTGGCTCGAAGGACACCTATACCAGTGACCTACCTATACCAGAAATGGGAAATGTCAATCATGGTCTGCGCACTCATATTACCGCTTTGAGCCAGCTTTTTTAGTTCACTCGTGACTGCTGATGGCTCTGCTGGTCTTATAAAACTGAGGTTATGAAAGTTAAACCAATACCGTCAATACCGAATCGTTCATCGGAAATGCCATTGTCATTTGGACTTTTCGTTCATTTGACATTTCAAAATTTAAATTTAAATTGTCTTTTGATTGTGTTTATTCTTGTGAAAAACTAGGGACACGACTCGACAAACCTCTGCAAACAGTGGCGACGATGAGTAGACGCCCCGCCGCCATATTTTTGAAATTTTAAATATGAATACATAGGAATTATTGGATATGAATGGATATCTATCATCAAAATTTGAAGGTAACAAATTTCTCTGACTGAAATTTAAATACGTTATTTTTAATTTTTTATGATAGATATGAATATCCGAGGGGATATTCATTAATATCCTATTATTCCTATCAAAAATTTGCAAGAATATGGTGGCGGGACCTCCATTGTCGCCACTGTTTGATGAGGGTTGTCGAGTTACTGTAAAAATTACAGTGAACTATCAATAACAAAGTGCCATCTTTCGGAGATTGACCGAACTAGTATTTATAGTTCACTCTTAGTCGGCAGAGGGCGCTAAAATACGACATGATATGTCAACATTGGAGAGTCCAGTCTATTTACCCCCTATATATATATTAGTCTATGATGTCAATGTTAACGTAGAATGTCATATGTTGAGATAGATTCTTTGTGTGCAGTCCTTACGTTGTTTCATTTATTCCTTCTAGCATCAAGAATTTACGCGCTTACAGTTCAGGTGTGGGGTAGACCCATTACATTTCCTAATTTTTTGGTTGCATTTTGCGTTTCGCGAATTTGTCCTATTGTCCTAATTTTAGACACTGAATATTTGAATTTAAACCTCTCGTTAGTCGTTAAAATTAGTATCGTGCAAATTAGTGACTTTTTGTAGTTTTAGTACCTATCGTTTTATTGTGACATTAGCTTCAAGTGTGTGACTATAAGTTTCCAAAATGAGCAAAAGGTCGAAGCAACGAGATAGTTCCAGCAGTTCAAGTCCCAGTTCTAGTCCCGATTCGACTAAATCGAGATCAAGATACCGCAAAACGACTTTGGAACGTAGTCACCCTCAACCATTAAGAAAAGATAAGTCACTATACGAGAGAAAACAAAAACCAAAAACTTTGCCCTGTGAATCCAGACCCAGGATGCGGCAGTTACGCACGTCGTGTCATAGGGAGGCGGATGAAAGTCACTCTCAAATGTTGGTGGCTACTTCTAGGCAAGATGATGTGACACCATGTAGTAGTAGATACCTCCATTGCTGTCCCTATTACAATGGATTTTGAAAATGTCGATAAAGCTCACCGACGATAAGCCAGTTACGTATAGGCCTTATCGAATGGCGTTTTTGGAACGCGAAAAGGTAAGAGGTATAGTCCAGGACCTTCTGGATAACGAAGTTGTCAGAGAATCTGATTCTCCCTATGCTAGTCCGATTTTGTTGGACAAGAAACAGAATGGCGAAGTTAGAATGTGCGTCCACTATCGTCTGCTGAACAAGAAGACTGAGAAAATGGTCTCAAATTTGTCTCTTCTAGATAATCTCCAAGATATTAGATTTTTCACCGCCCTGGATTTGGCCTCTGGGTACCATCAGATCCCCATGGAGGAAGAGTCTATCCCAAAACAGCTTTTGTTACACACTATGAGTTCCTGAGATTACCATTCGGCCTAGTCAATGCGCCTTCTGTCTTCCAGTCAGCCATGAATAAAATTTAAGGTTCACTACGTTTTAAATATGCATTGGCATATCTCGATGACGTAATTATACCATCAGAAACCGTCGAACAGGGCTTGGAAAGATTGGAGTTAGTCTTAAAAGCATCACGAGCGGCAGGAGTGACTTTGAGACTCGGCAAATGCAATTTCCTGCAATCAAGAATTGAATACTTGCGGCACGAAGTATCAAAGGAAGGCATTAAGCTGGGAGCAGACAAAATTAATGATGTCTCAGAGTTTCTAACACCTAGAACTGTCCATGATGTACGACGATTCTTAGGTTATTTCCGCAGGTTCATAAAGGGATTCGCTGGTATAGCAAAACCTATAGCATCATTAATGCGAAAAGATTAAAATTTTGTTTGGGGTGAAGAACAAAAAAATGCTTTCGTTGAACTTAAACAAAAATTAGTTGAAAGATCTATTTTAGCTATTTACAAAAGAGGAGCTGAAACCGAGATTCACTGCGATGCTAGTAAGGTTGGCCTAGCAGGAATATTATTACAGCGACAACAGGATACCCCCTTGAAGCCCGTACAATATTTTCGAAGTATACGAAGATGAAAGACCAGATGGCTGAAATGAGAAATGAAGTTCCTCAGAGAATTATGTCAAGACAAGACTATCAGAAAAAACGTTTCGATAGTAAACATGCTTTACCAAAAACGTTTGAAGTTGGACAACATGTTCTTGTCCAAAAGGCAAAGGGCCCTAATGATGGACAGAGTAGAAAACTGGAACCTCGATTTAAGTGGTTAATGATTTGCCTGGAGCTAAACGTTCCAGAAAGGCATATACAGGGATATGTCCCTGAGTAAAAATGAAAATATTCATAGCAAATGCGGCAGAATCTGAGAGTAGTTGATGGATAGATTAATTTCTTTCAAAAATATGTATTTTGTAAATATTTTTGTTTTAAGATACTTTATGTGGTATGTTATAGATGCTCAGGGAAAACCCTCTAGCCTCACGAGGACGCAAAGGATAGTCAGGTCTGGCCGACTGTAAGTTACTACAGGCTGGGCTCATGGATCAACACCCAATATAAGGTCACAACCAACTACCTGGCTCGAAGGGCACCTATACCTGTGACCTACCTATATCAGAAATGGGAAATATCAATATTAATGTAGAATGTCATATTTTGAGATAGATTCTTTGTGTGCAGTCCTTATGTTGTTTCATTGATTCCTTCTGGCATCAAGAATTCACGCGCTTACACCTGGTTGTATACCAAATAGTTATCTTTAAGATGTGAATTTAATTAATAATTTAATCTTCAGACGTTTAGACATAATGCAGACCTGAAA